GATCTTTTGGAGGAATAAACCATTTGTCCTTTTTCTGTGAAACCATGGAAGAGAGAAAAATTCTGAAGCTTACGTCTTAAGAGAAGTTACCACTTCTGCATATAATCTTGAGAAAAGGAAGTCAACTGGCCAGAAGGTTGATGTTATGGAGAGTGAGTTTATAAAAGAAAGAAAGGCCTAGAAAGAAAACTTTCAGGAAGAAGAAAAAAACCTAACTTTGGTAGGAAAGAGAAAAAAGAAAGGGAAGAGGGTAATTTTTAAAAGAAAGTCTGAAGAAAGGAGGAGTAAGAAATAAAGAAGGGGAAATAAAAAGATATGAGAGAGGGGAAAGGAGAAAGCGAAGAGAAAAAAAGAGTAAACAACTTAAAAATTTCCTAAAAAGGAAATTTCCAAGCACAAAAGGGGGAGTGGAAAAGAGTTTTTTTTTTTTAAATTTAATGTTTTTTTATAATAAATAATAATATATTATATTTATTTTAACTATTATTTGTAATCAATTAAATCGTTTAATTTTATTAAAATAAAATATTTTAAAATCTCAAAGTTTTTTAAAAATATTTTTTGAAATTTTATATTCAAAACTTTTAATTAAAATTAATATTAGTTTTTTATTGATATACAATATATGTAATACTAATTATTTGATTTAACATGTAAAATAATATTAAAATAAATACGTATAAATTTTTATTAATAATTACATAATCAAAAATATTATAAAGATTTTTGAAATAATAAAATAATTTAAACAATAATAATAATTTATACAGTAAAGATTTAATAAACATATGCACTTGTATGACTACATAAAAAAAAAACAATTATAATTTACTGTTTATTATTTTTAAAAATGGGTATATATTAGTACATTGATTTTTTTTTTAATCTAATATCTATTATACTAAAAGAAATTTCTAATTTTATATAAAGATTACTTTAGCCAAATACGTAAATTTATATTACAAATTTCTCCAAGTTTCCTGTAGTTTCCGCACAACATAAATATATATAAATACATGTGCATCCACCTAATAAATAAACTTTAACTGCTACCCTTTTGTTCAAAATGTCATTTTTCGAATCGAGTCGACACGATTTCCCGACCTCTGAGGCTTTTAAAAATACCACCGACTTGAGTAAGCCCGTTCAAAAACACTTGCTCAAAGTCTATGCGACCCTAAGTGGCCTTACATTAATTGCAGCCCTTGGATCTTATGCACACATTACTGGTTCATTCTTATTCGGGGTATGCCTCCGGTTTGTCTTTTTACGTTCTTTGAACTTAAAAGTTCTATTCAAGATCTCACATGTTTATTTTAGGGTGGAGTCATTTCTTTCTTGGTCGGTATGGCGTCACTAGTTGGTATCCTGAGTCTTCCGGATACACCGGACAATAGGTTAATTCGTTATGGACTCCTAGCGGTAAGCTTCTTTTCAATAATTCTGATCACGGTATTTATTGTAACTTACAAAATCGCATTATCATTACTTTCTATCAGAATTTTGGTTTTATGGAAGGACTTTCCATTGGCCCAGTGATTAAATACGCGCTCGCTATTTCATTCTCGTAAGTGACTTTTTGATATCTGTCGTCACTCATGAACATAAGAAACTCAAGTTTTTTTTTAAACCTTTCATAGCGACCAAATCATATTAAACGCATGCTTCTTCACTGCTGCAATCTTTGGATGTTTCTCAATGAGCTCCTTGTTAAGCAACAAGAGGATGTTTATCTATGTTGGTGGAATTTTAGCCTCCGTATTGAGCATGCTATTATGGACGTCGTTTATCAACTCTTTCATTGGTTCTAAAGTTTTGTACAACGCAGAACTTTATATTGGATTGCTTATGTTTTGTGGTTATGGTAAGAAAATTGTCATGTAAACAGATTTTTTATTCAACCGTATCTGACCGAATTTCTTTGATAGTAATATACGATACACAACTCATCATCTATCGCTTCCTTCATATGGGATCAACTGATGTTGTGGGTCATACTCTCGATTTATTCATCGACCTTGTCGGAATCTTCGTGAGGATTTTGTTAATAATGCTGAACAAATCAGAAAAAGAGGAAAGAAGACGTAGAATTAGACGTAATTGATTAGCCTATTAATTTTACTTTTGTATAATCTTCAAGAATATCGATAATTTTTTGTATTTTATTCATGATTTTTAGCTGTTTGGAGTCTTTGTAATTAGATTTAGTTTGAAAATCAGATAATAAATTTTATTTTAAATTTTATTCGCAAAATTAAACTTGTAAACTGTGGAATAGAAAAACTCTTTTACATTTTATTTCATCTCGTACATGATTTCAAAGATTTGGACAAATTGGCTATCATAAATTCCCGACAACAGTACTTGAGATAATAAGCCTATCAAATAAGTGAAATAAACCATAATTCGCACCCACATAATATATGAATTCATTTGTAATTGTTCCTATTTGTATTAATAATCATCGGATGGACCATCTCTGAGAAGACACGTTGAACAAAGCAATATATATCCGTGAGACAACATATTAGAAGTAATGTCCGAGTATCAATATGCGACGCAAAGGATCACATATCAGAAAAGATAAACGCAAGTTGCTATTTGTATATAACTGAGTCTATTAAATTTTTCATGAAAAAAATTCTTTTTTTTTTTTTTTTTTTAATTTTTTTAAAATTTTTTTTTTAAAAATTTTATTTTAATATTTTATAGATTTTTTTGTAATTTTTAGATAAGCAATAATATGATTTAGCATATTTATAATCAGTTAATAGCAAAACTTAAATAGTATATCATTTTATGTCTTTTGCATAATAATATCAAGTTTTTGAAGATTATTTAATTTTAGTTTATAATATATAGCTCTTTTCATTTCAAACCAAAGATTTTTAAATCCAAACTTTAGGAAAGTCAATTTGTTATTTAAATTTTATTTTCATTAATAAATTTCTTTACAATTTTTATAGTATAAAATCTTATATTATTTTGTTAAAAGATAAAATAACTATAATTTGAAATTACTGAATATTTTTTCAAAAATAGTACAATAATTTTATAAAAAATCTTCATATAAAATATACTAGTAACAAAAACTATTAAAAAAACAAGAGCCATAACTCCAAATTAAGAAAAATAGTTTTAATATATATAATCTTGGATATAATTAATAGTGTTACTCAAATATTCCAGATTCCACTTTTTATTTAGTTTATATCAAATTTAATAATAAAAGATTTAAAAAAGATAAATTGTGATTTTGTCAAATTACAAGATATGCTTGACCTTTTAAATAGTTCAATTTTTATAAGCATGAACCTAATTGAATCTTTTTTTGATATTGATAGAAAAAACAAATGACTTGAGATAAGTAATACATAATTTCAAGTTTTTTTTATATAAAACATAATAAATAGTATTTTTAAAAACTTTTTTTTTTTGTATTATGAAGAGAATAATGATTTAAAAGAAAGTTAATTAGCAATTTTTTTGAAAACTTGAATGTTCAGGTCATTTTTTTTTCTTGTATAAATTTATTTGACTTACAAAACTCATTTATTATATTCTAGTTAACAATCTTTTTACAATTAATAAGAGTTACAATCTGGATATAAAACATTTGATAAAAATTTCAAGTAAAAAAAAATAAATTTATGTTTTCAATCTTATATAAAAAAGATAATACCAAGTCATTACTATATAACTTCTATATGACTGGATGGAGTTGCATGAAAGTTTAGTATATTATATATTAAATTTCAATAAATATATACTAAAAAAATTATACAATATTTATTTATTCAATTTAAGTTATTAAATAAAAAAAATATTTACAATAATATAGTAAATGGCTATAGTTTTATTAAGATATAGTAATATAATAATTATTTAATTGGTATATAGTAATCTTTATAAAAGTAATAAAATATAAATATAAAAAATAAAAAGTTTTAAATAAAATAGTTTAATAATCTTTTTTCTTATAATATTAATATATTAATATTAATTATTTTATAAAGATAAATATAAAATCTAGATAATCAAAATTTTAAATAAAAAAACAATTATATTTTAATTAATAACTATAAGTATTCTTTAATTATTTTTTATTTTTATTAAAATAATAAAAATTAAATAATAATATTCAATTGTAAATAATAGTAAAGAGTGATTTTTGATGAATTTAATAAATTAAGTAGATTTTTATTTGTTAAAGATAATATTATTTCTTATTTCTTATATTATATAAAAATTCAAATAAAACTTAATTTATATTTAATTAATTAGATAAAAATATATTAATAATATTTAGACATATTAGTCTTTTAATTAAAAGATTAAGTTACATAAGAGATTTTTAGAAAATTTATTAAATAGTTTTTTTTTTTTTAAAGTTAAATAGCATTAGATGCAAGTCTTTATTGATACTAAACATATCTATACAATACATCAAACATCTTCTGTAACTGTTACACTACAGCTTAATGCTAGCCTATCAACTATTTTTGCCTATTGATACTAATCTGATACTCTTGAAGTATTTTTCACATCTTTGGGGAGACCTATCTAGGGAAGAAATTCCTACCACTAGTTTAAATCACCTAACCTACCAGTTCAATTTTGTGCAGGAACAATGGGATACTATTAACTATCCTCTATAAGTAACTTATCACTATACACTTTTTTACTTACACAGCTAATGTGACAGAGTGACTTCACGTGGGTCTGCACTCCCTAGTGAATGCTCCAAACCTATTTTATCCTCTGGTTGGTCACCTGCTACCAAATCTAGGAGTTCTTTTTGATCAATTAAAGCGTGACTCCACAGGAACACATACAGGCCAGACGGATGGCTATCAACCACTCCGCTCCCAAGGTCCCTGTCTCCTAGTAGACATATCTAGAGAGCCAGTTGGCGTTAGCTGCCAAATCTAGGGGCACGAATGCCAAGCAGGATGCAACTTCTACAGACATGGTAAGCTGCCAGAGGTTCATGTACATAAGACATTAATGTCGGTTCAGCATGCTTCTTCAAAGTTGCCTTATTTGGAAGTTAGCAGAATGGAATTTCTCACTCAGGTTAGTTAAGATAGAGCACAGCCTAGTCTGTGCATCCAAATATATGATTGGTTCTTGGTTTCTGTCAGATGATTATCATACCACTTCCAGACGATCGTCCCGCTGCACACCTTTCTTGAAGATTACAATCCCAACGTTCCACTGGATCAGCATGCAAATGACTTCCTATAGGAAATAGGGCTTAACAAGTTATGGCCTCAGATACCATTCTTAATTCGGTTCAACTGCCTTCACCTGGTGTTGAACTGGTATCTTGTGATCTGACCTGTGGAGTGTTAACCACTATACTATGGACCCACAGGTTTTAACTATATATAATTATTTCTTTTTTTTTTTGAATAAATAAACTTTTTCTTTTACTTTAATTATTTCTAAAAATTTTAAACAGGAATACGAAGTTTTATAAACTTGTACAATAACTCCAATATTTTTTTATTATTTGATATTTTTAATATTTGACAAATATATAATATTAGTACAGTTAATTGAAATAATAAAATAAATAAATAATAATTTTATATAAGAAAAATTATAAATAAATCAAATAAAGTATATTGAATAAGATTTATTAATTGAAAAAAAATCAATCAATTAATTAATTATATTTTAACAATTATCAATTTTGCTGCTTTATTAACAACTTTAATTATATAGTATTATATCATAACTTATGGTATTTCTAGAATTTTTAATGATATTATTTTGATATCAAGTTGATATTAAATTTATTATGAGTTTAATATAGTAAGTTATAACCCATATATTAACTTTATTATAAGTTGATATCAAGTTAGTACTATTTTAATACTTGATTTGAAACTCTAGATACTGCTCTTTAAAAACTATTAAATAAAATAAGTTAATCAATAGGTTTGATAAATTTTATTGCAATCTTTTTTAGAAAAAAAATGGCAATAAGAATTCTATTTTTTTTTTTTGCTATTTTTTTGATTTTAATTATTGTTTATATTATCAAATTAAAAAAATCCAATATTATCTTAATAAATAAAATATAAATAATGATATTTAATATTGTTTATATCTTGTTTATATATTTTAAAATAGTATTAATATATATTGAAATATAAAAAAATATCATTAAGTTATTTTGACAACAAAATATTTACAATTTAAAAAAAATTTCTTTATATTCTTATAAGTAATGTATCAATTTATTAAATAAAACTGATAAGATTCTTATTGATTATTCTTTTGATTATCTAAAAAAATTAATTGTTAAAAAATATTATTATATCAAAAAAATTTTAAAACATAACTACTTTATTATAGCAAGTAAACTTAAAGCCAAATTAGAAGAAAATGATTCTGAACTTGAAGTTAATAAATATACTATACATCATAAGCTTAAAAATCTTGGTTTGGTTTTTATTATTTCAAAAAAGATATATCTTTTAACTTAACAAGCAAAAAATTATTATTTATTTTAAACGTGTAAATATTTACTATATAACTAGTGAAAAGTCATTTTTTTTAATAAAACAACAATCCAAATATTCAGTAATACCTTTTATATATAGTTTTAAAATATAAAATTTATTGTATCTATAATAAAGTATTTATATAAAGTTTATATTTAGGCAATAATCAATATAAAAAAAAAATTAAAATGTTTGTATCAAAAAATATTAAATAAATATTTATATAACAATACAAATAAATTATATGGTCATAGTTGAATCTTTTAATTAAATAATGATCCAAAACACATTTTATATAATATTCAAGATAATTTAAAAAATTATCTTTTAAGATGGGTTTTCCTTTGATCTTTATATAGTTCAGATATAAACCTTATTGAAAATTTATATATCATTTTTAAAAAAAAAAGTAAAAAAAAGAATTACATAATATAATTAGGTAAGAATAATATAACTTGATAATAATATATTACTGTAACAATTTTTTTATATTTACTGTATCATATATTATGTGACTGGAAACTTCTGAAATATTCTGAAATATCCCAAAATACTGTAAAACATTTTAGAATTTCCTGGAACCTTGTAAAATACTCTAGAATATTATAGAACTTTCTGAAATATTATTAATTATTTATTATAAATTATTGTATTTATTATCTTTATATTTATTTGAAAAATAAGACATTATTATTAAGTATGTGTAATATTTATTATATATTTATAATACATAAGACCTTTTGAAAAAACCAATAGGAACTTATATATTAATAATATTTTTATATTTTTATAAATTATTTATATAACAGAGAATAATTATTTAAAGAAGACCTTTTTATCTTTGTAACAACTCAGATTATATTTTTGTCTTTAAGTTAATAAAATAATTATCTCTTCTAAAACTTGTAATTTTATTTTTGACTTGAATACAACTCATTGTTTAAACTATTATAATATATTTAAACTTTTACAATTACTTTGAAGTATTGATAATATGTGAGATTGAATTAAAGCATACATTAGTGCAATAAGAGGTCATACAAAATATCAAACCTATAATAAAAAATATTATGTTAGATATTATCTTTATATACAAAAAAAACAAACTTTTATTAATAATAAATTATGTAGCAGAGTTTTAGTTGCTATTTTCGACCGCAGAGGAGGTGTTGTTTATGCACTACTCATGTGGCACTCTTACGGCACTCGTGCGTCACCTGTGCAGGTGTGCTTACAATGATTTCGAGTGAAATTTCCTACTATAGTAATTTATATTGTTTAAATGAATTTTCAGATTTTATTTTCAGTATATATAAATTCAAAAGCTGGAAATCAAAAAGCAAAAATCGGAAATCAAAAAAATAAAGCAAATAAAGTTTGTAATTAAAAAATAAGAAATAAAAAAATAAAGTTTATCGTTAAAAATAAAACAAAGGATAAAAATAAAGAAAGAAAATTTTTAAAAAAAACTTATAAAAACTTTTATTTAGTGAATTTTCTTGAAAACTAGCGATTTTATTTAGATGAAATTTTAATGTTATAAATAGATAGATTTTATATAACATACTAAAATATTATTTAAATTATTATGCTAGTTTTTGAGGAATTTTATTTAAACGATAAAAAATTATCTGGTCCTGTCACTTTCTAGCATACATTAAACACGTGATATAATATATTTTTATACTAATGTAAGGGATTTCCGTAATTCGGAAATTTCACTTGAAATCATTGTAAGCGCACCTGCACAGGTGACGCACTAGTGCACGTAAGGGTACCACACCCCTCTGCGGCCGAAAATAGCAACTAAAACTCTGCTGAATTATGTACATAATTTTAAAAAATCTATCCGCCATTTTTTTCGCCGGGAACTGTATCTTCGGTTACGTGTTACTCTTCTGTAACGCATTTTATATTTGCATAATCCTGTACAAATTTAAAGAATAAATAAAACTTTCAAGATCTAGAATAATAAACAAAGAACACAATTCTATTCACTTCGGTAGAGAATGAATGATGAATGAGCTGAAATTACCGATGGGTCGATTCTTGATAACGGATAGTTAAGAAAGTTCCATAGTTATATGATCGGGAAGCATTATACTATAAATTTTATACAAATAATAGGTTAGTAATTATTAAATGCATTATGCATAATATACAAAAAACCAGATTTGTATTGTATGCATTTAAAATTATCAATCTATATTTTTACTTTTTGTTCGAAGCGTTGTACACTTCAATTCCAGGTAAACCATCGTTTTGTCTGTCACTATTTGATTCGTACCAATCAGATTGCCAGATTTTGTGCAAATTGTAAGTGTCCTTATAATATTAAGTTTACTTTATTGCACTCCGTTACCTAGTTTTAAATTATTAAAACAAAGAATTTGTATTTAGAACTGAATATAAAGGAATATTTAAAAAGAGAAACATTTCATATAAAATTTATTTATTAATTGATAAGTTTTAATAATGTATTAGTATATATATATATAATATAAAAAAAACTTAATATTATTTATACAGTGTGAATAAAAGTTTTTAAACATCAAACTATTGGTTTAAATAAAATCATTAATTATTTAAAACAAAACTTACGTTGATAAAACGAATTTAATGAATAAAATAATATACCCATTTATTTTTAAAGTTCGATATTTTTGTCTAACCATTTATTTAGAATTCAATATAATAAACACAATAGTAATGTTGTATAGATTTGTATTATTACATTATATTACAATCGAGTCATCATCGTGCTCTTTTGTTACTGTGTTAATCGAAAGATCAATTATGCTTGTTTATGGATAATTAATGCTCTATGTTGAATGTAAGATTAAAGTTTTCAATACCGAATCCGAAGACATTATCGAGGTGTATAATAGAATTCAGTGATTTAAAATTAGGGTGAATTTGGAAATATAATGATGTTATAATGCTTATGATTAAATATTCCTATAATTTTTGAGAAGTTTTTTTTTTAAATTTAACACTAACTTATTTCTAATGATAAATAATGAATAAATAAACAGATAATCTCAAACACTTAAATACAATTTAATCTACAAAATAAAGCACCCAAGTCTCTTTCCGTTCGAATAAAATAAAATACATAATAGACAACTTTTGGACAATAAAAATTATCCAAAAATAAATAAATCCAGATGTTTATTCATCGGTTAAGCATCCACTTGCAGCTCATGGCTCTCGATAACTTCGGAGCAAGCATCAATATTGTTTTCTTGAACTTCCATAAATTCAGCATCATTTTCATCATAATAACCAGAATTTTGTGTGTCAGAATTTTCTTCATAAACCTGCACAATATCCACATATGTTATGGCACTCTTAAATATGAGTCCAGTACCCAACAACCATTCTGCAACAAGTGCCTCGTTTCTTTCTTCCTCTTCGGTCTCTTCGACAAGAATTTCCTGTTCAAGCACTTCATCTTCGCATTCCAATTCTGTAGAAACTATGATTCCCATAAAACTATCGAATTTCTCGACAGATTCTTCGGAATTCTCCGATAGTTGTCTACTTATTATAGTTGATGCGACTGGTGCATGAATTGTAGGCGTGGGTTCTTTCTTTGAAGGTATGTGACTTGTAGGTGTGGGTTCGTTCTTTGAAGGTATGTGACTTGTAGGTGTGGGTTCTTTCTTTGAAGGTACATGACCTGTAGGCGTGAGTTCTTTCTTTGAAGGTACATGACCTGTAGGCGTGGGTTCTTTCTTTAAAGGCACATGACCTGTAGGCGTGGGTTCTTTCTTTAAAGGCACATGACCTGTAGGCGTGAATTCTTTCTTTAAAGGTACATGACTCGTAGGTGTGAATTCTTTCCTTGAAGGTGCATGGCTTGTGGGTGTGAGTTCTTTCCTTGAAGGTGCATAAATCGTAGGAGTAGGTTCTTTCTTTGAAGGTGCATGAATCGTAGGCGTGGGTTCTTTCTTTGAAGGTGTCTCACTGTAGACATTTTTTACACTTGATGTTTTATACGCTTCTGATTCCGAGGGAGTAGATTGCAGTTTATCCTCGGTCGGAGTTTGTGAAATATTATGTTGCTGTCGAGTATTTTGCTCCCGTTGTATTTGTGTCTGCGATCTCTTTTTCTGTAAAACTTTATCAGGTGTTTTCGCAGAAGTTGGTGGTATCTTCTGATTACCATTATTAACGATCGAAGTGTCCTCAAATCCTGTATTCGAAATTGGGCTTTGCATTCCCCCGTTAACAGAAAAAGTCGTTCTGTTTGGCGTTTGTGCACTACGTGTAGACCCGGATAAACTTGCCCTAGACATATGACGAGCATGCCTCGCCTGTTCGACCTGATCAAAAATACTCTGTTCCTGGTTTTCCTCTTTGGCCGGCATCTGAGGAATTTGAATTTTAACATAACGTGCCGGTTTACCAGCCACCGTTGAGTTTAACCCATGAGAATAATTTGCCGAGGGAAAACCGGATGAAGTAGGTACACGTTTGTGATCTGTACTGGAGTCTTCGCTCGGCGGCTTCCTTAATTTTGAGAAAAATTTTTTAAACTTCTTTTCCTTTTTCTTTCCACTTTCGTTTAAGAGGTCTTTCTTAACAGATCTTGGAAACTCAGTCTGCTCGCTGGGTGGTGTCGAGTTTAAGAAATCAATAAGATCTTGAGCTTGGTGTTTTCTCTTCGACTTCTGTCCATCGGGATATAATAAGTCGTCGTCATCATCATCTAAATCCAGTGGTACTGGCCTTGATTTTTTAGAAATAACTTTATCGCCATCACGTAAGTGTCCAGTACTTTTACTAGCATGCAAATTTTTATAGTGTGCGGGCTGTGTATGATCCATAGACTTACTGTGATACAATGGGGGATTTGAATGAGGTGATAATGATTTTGAAGATGGGAGAGGCGTGGAATTGGATTTACTCAGTTCCCCACCAGCCGATCGCGAAGATAATGTTTGGGAGATGGTGTAATTATATGGTGATAAGGGGGATGATGTTCCAGAAGGAATAAGAGGTGTATAACGTGGACTACTTTGGGGTGACCGCTCGGGAACTTTTTCTAATTTATCAATAGCTTTTCCTCTTCTCTGAAAAAGATCTACTTTTGAATCTTTCTTCTTGA